CGCCGGAAGTGCGGGCGCGGTCCCCGCGCCGGCCGGCACGTCGGCCTCAGGCTCGCGGCCACTGCACCCCCTGCCACCTACAGATGAGGGTCCCGGGCTCCCTCGGGCTCAGCGGCTCTCCACAAATACTCGTGAACGTGCCACACGTGCAGCGACAGTCTCAGGAGGAAGGTGCAAGCCGGGGACCGCAGGGGGCAGAAACGGACGAGGCGAGCTAAAACGGGGACCTGGCTTCCGTGCCCTTCTGAGGTGACGTGTCACCTCCCCGAAGGCCCAGGGTTTTATATGGATTCCATTAGAAACACTCTTGTAGATGTGGAGTTGCGAGTCGTGGGGCGCCGGCTGAACCCAGTCTCCGTCCTCCTCGGTCCCCGAAGGTCAGAGCGGCAGCGTGCAGCTCCCGCACTTGGCTGGTGTGGGGCTTTGTTGGTGACCGGCCTCCATCCAGAAACAGAGGGGCTCTCTGCCGGAGGAACCTGACCGGAACAAACGCGGGGGCCTGCAGAGTGGCCAGTGAGGAGTGACAAAGGGCCCTGTCGCTCAGGAAATTCCAGATCCCCAACTCTAGGCTGGGAGTGTGAGGGCAAAGGTCAGTGTGTTCTATTATGCCGCGGAATGGTTAGTAAGAACCACCAAGTTGGTCCATGGAACGCAAGTGCAGTTTATGATTCCAAATTTTGCCCTGGCAGAGTGGACTTTAAAAAACGGGGGGCGGGTGGAGAATTTAGGGACGGTAACTTAGTGATATTGACCAAAATTATTTTTGACCTACCCATCCCACATTGGGAATTTGCTCCTAGAGATACACGGGCACACGTATGAAACTGCGATTTCGTCAGAGCAGTGCCTGGTAACAAAAGGCTGGGGAAAAGCATTACTGATCATCAGGGGGCGGAGTAGGAACTTCGGCGTTCCTCAGAAAGGAATAAACACAGCTAATAAAGGAGAGTGGTTTCTATGTGCTGATATGAAACCAGTTAAAAGATATATTGCACCAAAGCTCAAACTTTGTGTATTATAGTGTACTTTGTATAGTATGTTACCTTTTTTACAAAAACCGGGAAAATGATAATCTTTTTAATTTTTACTTTTTGCAGTACCAAGGATCTATTGAGCTCTTACTGAGCGGCATTCAGTCCTTTTTACAATTATTATTATTTCTATTTTGAGGCAGGGAATGGCTAAATTGTCTAAACTGGGCTCAAACTTGTGATCCCCTTGCTTCAGCCGCCCGGAATGCTGGGATTACAGCGTGCGCCACCGGGCCACGCTGCTAACACATGCTTTTACTTGCTTGTATCTGCTGAAGAAGCCGTGTGAGGTCAGGACTGCATCTGTGAACACTAGCCACTTCACCTGCCTGTGTAGGAGGCCTGGCACAAGCAGAGAATTGTAGGGGGTGTTTCCACTGGATATTTGCAGTTTCGATTTTTATAAAAAATTGTTCAAAAAAGTAAGTTTCTAAATTAAAATAAAAATATGCCTTCATTGAAGAAAAGTGTGCGCAGGGGATGCAGGGAGAATGGTGGGCTGTGACTTTTGCTGTTGAGCTCCTGAGAACCGTTCCCAAATCCCACCTGGAGATTCGGGTTGGGGGCTCTGGAGCCAGCACCCCAGCGCCCCTGCTTTCTGTGAGCACTGCTTTCTCTGGACAGACACCACCAGCCGTGCCTGCCCGGGTGGCAGTGGTGCAGTCCTCAGGGCTGCCAGGAACAAGTGAAGCCAGCAACATTTGATTTTTCATCCATGAAATTTCCTGATCAATATGAAGAGGAGAGATTGGAGAGGAATATGAAGAAGAAAGCCCGTTTTTCATATTACCTCAGTTATGGTTCGGGGGAAGACTGGCAGCTACTTTAAGCCAAAACAAGATGAGCTTTCCTCCAAGGAATGCCTCCTTGGTGAGCCTTCAGCATGCTGGCTCCGTTGTGTCCACCAGAGGGCACTGTGCCCGTGTTTCTGTGGAGAGAGGAACCGTTGGAACCCACTCTGCTTAAATATTGTCGTTTTTCTTTTTTTTTTTTAAATTTGATATATATATATTTTTTGAACAGGGAGTCGAACGCATGACCTCGGGCTTGCCAGGCAAACGCTTAGGCTGCTGAGCTATATGCCTGGCTCATTTTTCTTATTACTATTTTTTTTTCCCCCGGTACTGGGAGTCAAACTCATGACCTCATGCTTGCCAGGCAGGCGCTGTGCCACTGAGGTAAATCCCCAGCTCCCGTTTTTCTTAATAAACGTGTTAAACTTTGGTTTTAAAAGGTGTCTTCCTCATTGAAAAGTAAATCTAAATGCAATTTGTTTGGAAATTTCTCTGCATTAGAAAATGGAATTTAGAAAATAGAAAGGAGATACTTCCAAAAATGTCAAATGATCATTGGAAGGGTCTAGTACCCAGGTCTGATTTCCTTTAGGGCAGTAAAAGATTAAGTAGATCTTGGGACTTATTCTCTATCTTTGATGATTTTTCTTGCCGTTTCAACATGATACGGTCAATTCTTACTGATTAACTAGATGCAAGTCTATATGTGTGTTTTGGGATAACTATCTACAGACAAGAGGGGCTGGTGGCCCAGCTCATCCTAGCTATTCTCTGCTCCTAGTCCATCTGATCTCTTCCACGTCTTGTCTGACAACCAACAGTGGCCACGAGCCCACCAGGAAGCCCTTGGAAGAAGCCCAGAGAAGTGGGCTGCATGGTGGAGGACCCTCCCACAGACCTCAGTGAGCCTTGCCTGTGCTCTCACCTGAGCCAGTGCATGCAGCTCCTCATGTCCTCCCACACCCTCAGACCACCACAGGGGGCTGCCGGGCAGATCAGGGGCCCTGTGTGAGCTAGTGCACAGGAGCAGCCCCACAAATATGGCCAAGAAAGAAGTTTGCTGGACTAGTTCCAGGCTGGAGGCTCTTCCTAGTCCTCACTCTCCCAGCCAAAGACAGTACTTCTAAGTCACTTCATGAACAAGGTAAAGACATCACATTACAGAGATCCATGCATTGCCACAGTTTCAGCAGCACAATTCATATCAACCAAATCTTGGAAGCAGCCTATAGGTCCATCAGCAGAGGAATGGATAAAGAAAATGTGGTATTCATATATAGTGGAGTATTAGCCATAAAGAAAGATAAACTTGAGTCATTTGTAGGAAAATGGATGCACCTTGAGATCATAATACTAAAGAGAAGTCAGGCACAGGGGGTTAAATATGGTGTGTTTTTTCTAATATGGGATACCCAAAATGCATATAACTTTAAAAGCCAATAAAGAGAGGTGGTAGGGAACAGGGAGGTAAACTGTGAGGAAGGGAAGGAGGTCTAGGGAAGGTGGGGGAATGAAGAGGATCCAGATGTGATATATAAATATACATATATATATATATATATATATATATATATATATATATATATGTTAATTCCCCAGTATCCCCCCAGTGTGTCCCCACTGTGTCCCCCTGTGTCCCCCAGTATACCCTTACCATGTCCACTCGGGTCCCCTGTGCCCCCACTGTGTCCTCCACTGTGTCCTCCCCATACCGCCATGTTTTCTCATGTTTCCCCCTCTGTGTCCTCTGTATGTCCCCCTCATGTGTCCCCATCATGTCTCCTGTGCCCAGCCATGTCCTCCCCATGTCCCCTCTGTGTCTCCTGTGTCCTTCGTGTGTTTCCCTCACATATCCACCCCATGTTTCTCATGCCACATGGGGCCACCAGATCCCTGGTGTCCCTGTCTGGGCCCCAGTGTCCAGGAGTTGAGGAGATGGAGCTGGACCCACATCTTGTGTTTCATTCTCCCCTGCAGTGGCCACATCCAGGCCCAAGAAACTCAGCAAGGTAGGCAGGATCGTGGACTGAAACATCATGGCTCTGTGCCGCACCCCAGCCCAGAGCAAGGGATGCCTGTGTGGTCCTCGAGCTGGCCCCTGATCCACAGCCTCAGGATCCTAGGGCTCTTTCTTGGCCTACTTTGCGGACACACAAGGATTGATCTTGTGGGCAGCAGCCATAGAGTGCAGTCCCGGGAGTCTTCAGGGCAAGTGGGAAGGGGCGGCAGCATCGTACTGACAGAGTAGGGTAATGAGAGAGGTGTCTTCCTCAGAGTCTCCAAGATGGAGAATTTGGACTGCTGGCCATCCCACACATGCTGCATAGGAGTTCAGTGCTGGCTACTTGAGAAATGCAAATCCAAATGACACTGGGCTCCATCTCGCTCCAGGAAAAGGTCATCACCAGTTCAGCAAATGACCAGTGCTGGAGAGGCTATGGTGAAGAAGGAACCCTTCTCGGATTGTTGGTGGTAGTATAAACTAGTACAACCACTCTGGAAATCAGTATGGAGAGTCCTCAGAAAACTAAAGTCAGAAATTCTACTTGACCCAGCAATACCTCTTTTTTGAGTATCTTCCAGAAAGTGCTAAACCCATCATATTACAGGGACATATGCATACTCTTTTTTATAGCAGACAGCTCATAATAGCTCATCACAGCTAAATCTTGAAAGCCACCTGTGTCGGGAGCAAAGCTGTCTACCTCAGGACAAGGTCATGGCTTCTCATGAGTTTGTCAGGGCCTCATGAAAAATGTACACAGCTCGTGGAGCGATGCACAAAGTGATGTGACCTCCCCTGAGATAATACAGACCCTTCCTCTCTTGTTCCTCTATAACCACCAAGGCACAATGTTTTGCTGAAGATGGAATGTTCTTCCTATTCTGGATCTTGCCCTTCCTTTGGATTCTCTGTAAACACACGCTTATGCTGATTGTATAAATAGACACACTGCAGGTGCTGGGTAGTTCCTTTCTCCCATCAGGGGAGGGATCCATCTGACCTCAGCTTTCTGCATCTTGACTCTTCTTTTCTTCATCCTTCACCATCCTTCCTCTGGAATTTTAAGAGCTGTACTGGACGAGGCAAGCCTATATGTCCATCAGCAGATGAATGGATAAAGGAAATGTGGTGTTTACATATATGAATATTACTCAGCCATAAAGAATGATAAATTTGAGTCATTTGCAGGAAATGGATAAGTCTTAAAACTGTAACACTAATAAATCAGACACCAAAGGTTAAATTTTGTGTGTTCTCATAAGAGAAATATAAATAATTTAAAGAGCAAAAGCAAAGATGGATGATAGGAAACAGAGCTAGATTTATGGAGAGGGAGGGGGTGCTGAGTATGGGAGACAGTGGGTGACTGAAAAGGACCAAGGTATGACATGTATGTATCACTTCCGCAAGATGGATGGAATTAGTATTTATTGGAAACACACACTAATGAAGAAGAAACTGGAAAACAGAAATAAACACATGGTGCAGTGGTGAGGCCTCCCTCTGACTCTGGACAGGCAGAGAGGCTGGATGCTGGGGTGGGGCTCAGATGCACAGTGGAGTTCCCAGTGCCACCCCAGGGCCTCTAAGGGGAAGGTGACCTGTGAGAAATGGAAGAATGGTTTTAGCACCTTTACCCTCCATGCCCTCTTCTTCGTTTTGGTGTTCTTTTCTCTGTGGTAACAGATTCCATCTACAAACCGGGTTTTGGAAGTTCAAGTAAAGGCTGCTTAGAAATGGGAGATTCAGGTCTTTTCTGGAACTGACAGAAGGAAGTGCTGTGGCCCATATCCCTGGCTGCAGTTTCTGTTCCCCATGGAATCTCACCAGGGTGCAGCCCAGTTGGCCTCACCCAGACACACTCTAAAAACTTTAGTGAGTCCCCTTGCATTACACCACTACTGTGACTCTCCTTACGCATACTATACACTGTAGAATCACTTTCTTCTGTGGTCCCACAATCTCCTTGATAGGAAGATCAGGCCCTCAACCAAGTTATAGGATGTTGAAGCAAAGGTTCTCTTATGTCCTGGGTCCTCATTGACCTCAGAGGGCTATGGCCAAAATATTGGCTATCTGCTTAGCCATCTATCTTTCTAATTTTTAGTCTCAAAGCCTGTTGTTGAACATCCAGAAGAGAAGGTCAGTGATATTACACTGTAGAGGGGGTGCCTTGAAATATAAAGTATAGCCAGAAAACTGTTATTTTTTACCAACCACGGATGTTTTAGTAGTTAAATCCCTATAGAATGTTAACAGACAGCAGTTACATAGTTTTACAGAGAAAATTTGAAATTGAAAGCCATACATGGTAGTGTAGCATAATAGGTATGATGACATTTTTGAAACACAGTTAAATCTCCATCTTGGAATAGAATAAGCTTTTTAATCAGTCATCCCTACCTAATACATAGCTTTTACCTAACTTGTTGTCCTTTTATAGGATGTCATTGAAGTTTGTAATATTGCCTGAGTTGTTATCTAAGAATCTCTAAATGTAGTGGCATATACATAGCATACACATCACAAAAGTTTTTGCTAAAAATTGTCATTTGACTGATGACCTTATGTTGGCTTGACATGAACCTCTTATTACAAATATCTGGGGCACAAAATGCAGATGTCTATCACCAAAAACAATCCCAGTTTTACATTTTAGAATAATGTACATCTGGAAGGCATGAATACATTTAATATGCCATGAGATTAGCAATAATGAATTACCAGTATTTTATTTCTTAATTTAGTTTTGTACCAAGAACATCTTTTAATTAGAAAACCTTATTTTTTTGAAACTTAACCTTTTGATAATGACCAGTGTAAATACATCACAATAATATATTTTGTACAATATTTATTGGGGTTTCTCCCATAAGCTGTGGAGATTATTGGGGCTTCCCATTAATGAACATGAACTGGAAGAATGTTTCCAGGCAGCTGCTTCCTTATTCATCAGTTGGAGTCATGTCCAGTAGTATTTCCTCATCCTAAGGGATTTTTATTTAAAAATCTTAATAAATTTTTGATAAGCCATGAAAATGCAATCTCAATACTTAACATATTAAATTTGAACAATGAGAGACTCAAGTCATAATACATAAACACTAAAATACATGACATGTATAAAACCAATTTTGACATCATTTTGACCAGCTGGCAACCTTGGTAGAAGCATATCCTTAATTTTAGATGACATTTATCAATGTGCCAGATTAAATTATAGAGAAATGCTTTAAAAATCCAAAAAAGAAGAAAAATTTGCTGAGCTCAAATAAAACAGCTGTTTACAGATTGGACAGAGAGACAAACACACACACAAGACAATTTGCTTATAAAATCAGAGTGCACTCAAATATATTTCTGGCCAAATGAAATTATAGAAATTTTTATAATTTTTTAAGTGTGTAATTATAAAAAGATGTCAGAACTTTTTTATAGGACAGTTAGAAAAGATATTGGAAGAATTTGAACAACACATTAAGATTATTTTAGTGTCTGAATTTTAAAAGGCAAATGAGAAACAGTCTTCTCATTATGATCATTTCGCTGAGTTCCAACTGGAAACAAGTAGGGATGCCAATGATTTCTTTTTGCAGCTGCTTATTCCTCTAAAATCTGTTAGTTTCTGGATAGAGCAGTATGGGATGTTCTTTTGAAAGGCTCCTGCTCCTGCCTAGGTGTCTCTGCTGGGAGCTGTTTTTACTCTGCATCAGAGTCAGAGGCTATTGACTATGAGCTTTGCAATGGATTTAAAACTGAATGAACTAGGTTTGAAGTTGAGAATATCTCAGGTGAAATGACTTTTCCTGTTCTATGTGCCTGTTTAAGATTTTTTCCAACTCTTCCCCAATCATCAATATCTACAGTGCCTGTCTGAGGAAACCATGAATTACATTTGGTTACCTCTTGTAACATTTTTGTTAGGTCTTTTTTTGGCACATGAGCTCCTGAGCATTTCAGCAAACCTTGGAGCAGCTTTATATATCTTTAGCTGAAAATTTTTGGCCCATTTTACTCCCAGATGAAAATGGCTTGTTCACAGTGGGAAGACTTACCCCTATTCCTTGTGGAATACTTCTCTTCCCTCCTTTTTCCAGGCATCCCTGGTGAAGTTTTCATCCTGTGAAGACCTTCTCCATCTCTGACACTTTTTCACTTTAGACAGACTTACTCATCAGGCTAAACATTTCCAGTCCAAGGACTATATGTCCATTTTCTGGGGCACCAGTTATCAGGTTAATAATATCCCTTAGTTATTGCCAGCTGATCAGGTCTGCAACCTCCCAAACAAGTGTATGGAGAACGCTAAGTAAAAAGAGGCAAACAGAATGATTTTAGGACTCTAGGAGGGTCAAACCCCTCTCACAGAATTTGAGATTTTCTCAAGGCTAAGACCAAGGACTTCTCTGGATGGCTCGTATTTATTTGATCATCAGAAAAAGGGAGGAGAGTAATCAAGAAAGGTAGAACCACTCAAGGACTTTTCCAAGTAAGGCATTAAATTAATCCACCCATGAAAGAGATGCCTGAAGCTATAGTCTTTATCTAGTTGAGATAAGAACCAGGTGTCCTTGGCTGTGATCTTATCCTTTGAGGCTTTCTGGCTCCATCCACCATTACAGATGTTAGTAGGGATTAGTGACTCACAGAGATTCACTTACTATGAGTCCACTGCCTATTTCCAGACAAGGAGCCTAGGCCTTGGACAGGTTCACAAGTGAACATGGAAAACCAATTGATTAATTTAAGTCCTGCTTCATAGTAGTCTTCATCATACCCTGTCCCCTTGGGATGCCAGTTAGACAGGCTGGGCAGTGCACCTGTTCCAACATGGCGCTGCCAGGTGACAGTGCTTGAGTGGCCACTACCCTTGGGTCCCTGGCCACTGCTCACAGCCACTGAGGCACCCACACCAGACTGACAGGCCAGCGACTTCTGTCATGTTAGCACAGCTGTGCTGTTGTTTTCTTCTTACCTTGTTTTTCTAAACCCTGTGAAATCTAA